TTCCTTGGAAGATACATTCATTTATTAGTTTAGTTAATGGATACACTATGAGATTCTTTATAATTTTTATGATTTTCACATTTAAGCCATATATATCTTTAGTAGCTTTACTTTTAAGGTTTGTAATAATGTCTCTTACTTCAATGTACGTTACCTCAGAAAATTTAAAAGTATTATTGGGTAATTTGTTATAATCAAAATTAAAGTATGGATTTAGAGTATCTTTCTGAGAACATAGTTTACGGGCTTCCAAATCCTTTGCAGCCGCTGTCGTAAAATATTCATTAAATATATCCGTTACGGTTGGACTTATTTTTGGTAACATTACTTTTTTTCTTTGCTTGTTTATAATATCCCACATACACTTATTAGGGTTATTAGCATTTTTTAACAGTTTCTCATTTGCCTTACACTTAGCTCTTTTTATTTCAGATTTGTACTGCATGCGATAGATATTTCTCCTCAATTTATTTTCTGAACATGGGTTTTTTTTGTATATCATAATAAAGAAGTTAAGTTGTTCACGCATAACTCTTAGATGATTATTAAACCATTGAAGTCCGGCTGTATTGAGTTTATTACTATATTTTTTTTCAGGAAAAGCTGAATTATTACATTCTACTATTTTATTTAAAAAAATTTGAAATTTGACATTGATATCTAGATCAACATTGTTAACGAATGTCCAATCAATATTTTCAACTAAGTTGTAAAATTTAATCTTACCCCCCTTAGTAATAGGTCTACATACTTTTGTTGCAGGTTTCTCCATAATGTTTGATTCACAAAGAACTAAGTTAATAATAATACCTTTATGATCCGATAAATTACAGTCCACTACAGAAAATTTACTTTCAGTTGTGAAATTAATGAATACATTATCGATGCACCTATCTTTCCTTGTGTTTTCATAAACTTTTTTGTATAAGCCAAATGTACGGAACAGATCGCACAAACGGGCAGAATATCCCGATTCACAGTCTGAGTAAATATCAAAAGGTACGTTAAAATCGCCCACAATTAATATTTTTTTCCCGCCATTCACACTCAATATTAATCTTTCTAATTTATCTAGAAATATTTCAAAATTATTACCTGGTGGTCGATAAATATTTATTATATACATATTCAAAGAGTTAACAATAGCAGCTGAGATCTCTATTACTGTTTCTACTGACATTTCGCTCATAGCCGGCTGTGATGTACAATTTAAACCCTCTCTAGCTAGAATTGCTGTTCCACCACCTTTACAAACCTTTCTGTCAAATGAAGTGACAACGTTATATCTATCCAGGGAAAGGCACTCCACCTCTGCTGAGTCAAGCCAGGTTTCACTAAAACATAAAATATGAAAATTATTATCAAAAAGATAACAATTTAACTCATTTATTTTATTTCTTATTGATTGAATATTTAAACAAAATATATTCAATACGTCACAATTACGTATTTCCACGTCCTCGGAGAGTGAAGTCATAAATGTATCTCGCACCCCGGGTCCTATCCCTGCGGACTTTCTTTCGTCCTCAGAAATAAAAAACGGCTAACACAAGCTCCATGTGGCCACAACTCAGGATCCATTGCTTTGCTGAAATGCTCTTCTAAAACTGTTACCTTGAAAGATGCATATAAATGAGGATGTTTCGACGCAAGTGATTCAACTGTCACCTCTGGAAAATGTTGTTTCACATGTTCCTTCAATGAATCCACTGTGGTGACTTTATTTAGTCGATAGACGTGTAAGACTGTCTCCTTTGGTACACCCTGTATTAATTTATTATTTTTATTACTTCCGACTATCATTTGTTTCTTATTTGCTTTTTTCTTCCCCACCTTTTGCCACTCATTTAATTTGCTGGTTGATGGTTTTTGCAGATCATTATTTATATCTATATATTTATTCAATTTAATTTCAGACTCAGTCTGCATTAATCCCAGAGATACTGCATTTTTTGTAATAGTTCCACTTGAATCATTCTGCCCATCAGCTGTTTGTTTTATGCCAGGTTTATTTACATTTTTACCACTGTGGTTAGTTTTTACTTTCACATGCTTTTCTTCTTTGTCCATTTTTTGCGTAACTGGGGACAAAGTTTTTATCATGTCAGTCCGATTCATCAGTTCAATTTGGTTATTTAGTAAGGAATTTTTTTCTTGCAGTTCCTTTATTATTCGATCTTTTAATTTTATCACATAATTAAATATAGCTACGTCTATTTTACCGGCATCAGACAGGCTTCCCAATGCATCAAAAAATGCGTTGTCTTCTTCTTCCATATCCGATTGTTGTTGAGAAACTTCGCAGCAAATAATTCTTTCACTGTCAATCGTCACTATATTCTTTAGATGCTTAACACAACTATTATGACACACCGTGTCACATCTGATACATTTTAAGCCCTTTTGAGCAACCATTTTACACCTTTTACAAGGTTTTGTAGTCAGACTAATTTCATTCGGCTTGGCAGTCGGCGCCATTTTTTAATGGATGAAATGACCGATAGGTGATTTGTGGTCGAATTATTATATGACGAATGATTTGACATATTGATAAAACGCGACTTTGTAAAAGTATTGTGTATACAGGATGAAAGCGAAATATTTGACAAAATTTTAGACTTCTAAACAAAAATCAACAAACGGAGTTCTTATAAAAAATTGTCCGAAATGACGGTTTACTAGTTACAGGGTATTTTCTTAATTAAACTTGAGCTTCTGAAGCAGGAACGAGTGCGGCCTAGCGACTTGGCATTCATGTCATTGATATGAAAAGTCGAGCAACGCTTATCGCGGTTAGTCCTTGGATCGGTGACCATCTGGGGAAGCCTCGCGATGCTCGTCTAGTGGCCTGTATGTCAGTATATTCACAGAATCTATATACATTTAGGCGAGGTTTATATAGGAAGACATACGATGGTATGCCACAGAAGCTATTGGCAACAAGAAAAGATAAAGGACTCCTTTTCAGAAAATGTTTTCATTGCATTTTTCGGTGATTTATTTAAATAATGGAAATCCTCAATTCTGTGGGAAATATATTCAATACTAAAAGCAATGATAAATGCGAAACACTATAACGATATTTCAAGATACAAAAAATTAAAAACTTTATTAAAATGCTCTTCTGAAAAATATGTAGTTAAGAAATCGAAGATTTTTACAGAAGAAAATGTAAAAAGTTCTTAGAAAATGCTCCGGATGATATATTTAGCAATAATGGTAATAGAAATCATAATTTAAGCAATTTTAATAAAATGTAATTTTTGTTTTTACTTCGCTCTTGTCATTGGCGTTTTGGGGGCTTGTCGCAAGAATGAGTTTTACAACATTAAAATTTCCGGCATTAAGGATTTGGGATCCGCAATACTAATTGCAATTCCTAATACAAAAACTAAAAAACCAAGAGAGTTTACAATGACGGAGATTTTTATAATATTATAAAAAAAATACTGGACTTGAGACCTTATAATGTTCCTTCTGATAATTTTTTTATTCATTTCCAAAAAATAAATGTACACGACAAGTAATTGGGATAAATAAACTGGGCAATATGCCACATTTCTGAATCTAGACAAGGCACAAGAGTATACTGGCCACTCCGCCGTACCTCAGCGACTACGTTGGTAAATACAGGTCCGAATATTACAATATTAAAAAATCATGGAGGTTGGAAGTCTTCTCAAGTAGCATAAGGATACATAGAAAATTCTCTGCAAAACCGAATAAATATAGCAAATCAATTAGTTTCTTCTATTACTGGATCTAATTCGTTAGTAACCGTCCCCCCAACCTCCAATTCTTCTTGCTAAATGACTGTCATGTCTGCCTCTACAAACCAATCTGTTTTGAAAAATATTACAGAAAATATTTCCAGTGCACCAGTTTTTAATTTTAGTAGTTATACCAACACCATAAATATAAATATTAATACAATATAATACAAATGAGTCAATAACTAACTTATTTTGTTTAGATTTAATTTAATTGTTTTTGATCCATTCTTTTTGGTCGTGGAGAAAATATAATTTGTTACTCGGTTAGAATGAAAAAATTCGAATTTTCCACTCATATATTTTTTCATTCTTACTTATACAATTGGTACAGTGAAGACATATTGTTTCTAACTCACTTAGATTTTTTAAAACTCCCCTCAGAAAACTGTTATAAATTTACTGCCCCCACTTAAATACTAGAGCTCAGCTGAAATAAAATATTTAAATTTATTAGGCCATTGATCAAGTACATTTTGAGTCTTCTTAGTCAATCTTAGCCGTGTTGGGATAGCAGGTTCGACTACTATATGATATAAGTGAATTATTCAACCTCGATTTAACTCTTTGTTCGATATAGAAAATTTTCCGAGGAAATATACATATGTGCGAGCTGTAATATTTACGTTTTAATACAATACTTGTTTAATTTCAAATGATATAAAATCAAATATTTGGGAACAACGAGATTAAGCTTTGGTTACGCAAATTAAAATTGATATATTAATATTATACTTTCAAAAACCGCAATTTTCTAAACAACAGATTAATACATGGGTAACGTGCCCAGCATTAAACGCTGAAATAAAAAATTATGTTTCACCTTCTATTTACGGAAAAATTGCCTAGAGGCTTCGAGGAATAACGTATGAGTTTTGTATGTAGATTTATGTCTGACAAGGGTGAACGCACAAACATTTTCGCCACAGGAAGTAATTTAGAAATGTTTGAATATAGCGAAATATTTATTTTGACCATGTTTCAATTCGACTGAACGATCCGAGGAGTGAATAAAATAAGGTTTTGATATATCGCTGGAATAAAAGGCTGGCAGTTGAGTCATTGAACGAAACAGGTAAACATAAAAAGTTATTTTTGCCACCATATGAAAATGAATCATGGACTAAAACCGATACATCTCAAAATTACGGATTTCTCGAAGGCCTTTGATCACAGTGTTTTATTTCGCAAGTTGGCAAATTTTATTTTATCCAATACCTTTATTAACTTAGTCAAATCCTATTTATCTAAGAGGACTGAATTTCTCAGTTTAATGACTTTGATTCATTAATGTACACAGCTACCTCTGTGTAGTTTCCCAGGGATCTACCTTGGGCCCTCTTCTGTTCATTTTATTTATTAACGATTTAATTGATGTTATTAACTGCTGCGAACTTTTATTTGCTGATGACTTAAAAATATATTCGGCCGTGAACTTCTTGAATGATTGTCAGCAAATGCAAATGGACCTTGAGTGCATTGAACATTGGTGCCAGTTGAATAAGTTACATTTAAATAATTCAAAATGCAAACTTCTTACGTTTTGCAGGAAATAACTATCATATGAATTTAGTTACTTAATAAAATAATACTTTATTTTCTCGTTGTGAATAGTGTAAGAATTTGGGTGTATTATTTGATAAAAAAAACTTTCATTTAATGAGCATGTATTATACATAGTCAATGAAGCTATGAGTTTTTATGGTTTCATTATTAGAAACTGTAAAAAGGTCGAGACTTCAATATTATGCGCTTTGATGTGTGGGTTCTACACCCACATTATAATTTACATAAACGACTGATTGAGATATAATGTTCTAAGTCTAAGACAAAGTATATATTTCTGAGGTCAGCGCCATATGTTATGTGTGTTAACTTTAATTGACTAAGTCATCCGTACAACATTATTAATGGATCATTAAAGGATTTTATTAAAATTGCAACTGATCACTTAACGCTAATTGATAGATTTTTTTTGTAGTATTTTTTTTTCTTTAATTTATTCTGTATTTGCTATTGTATTGTGTTTGTATTTACTTATTATTATTCTTGTTTGTTTTACTTAATTGTATTTCCCCTGTAAATGTGTTTTCTGTTGGGCAATAAAACAATTACAGTAATTACATATATACCGGGTGTTCCATATAATGACTGTTTCACAAAAACTTAATAGTTTCAGAGATACCGAACTCTTTGGTCGGTGAGGCCCAAACTCAAGCGTATTTTAGAGTTTCGAATTATTAGCTTACATAATGGAACAATAATTATCCAACACCAACATTCCAACATTTTTTTAAGGAAAATTGAAATAAACATATGTACTTCTGTAAAATATGGCAAGAGTTCTTTGAATGCCTTATTCATTTTGTATAATAATTCATAACTATTTGTACGCTTGTCCTAAAATAAAATTTGAATGTATAACGAAATTTCATCACAGTTGGCTTTGATTAGAAGGATATAAAAATGTTGCTTAATGTCACTCAGAAATACAAGTTGACAAAACAGCTAATTTTATGTTGAGAGATTGAAATTTGTCATTTTGGGTAAAACTGAATAGAAAATTGAAAATAACCAAATCCGAAAACAATTAGTTTAAGTAATGAACTCCTTTGATTTGAATGTTTATAGCGAAATGAATTCCCATAAGAAAAAGAAAACTATTTTAAAATTTCCAAAAGGAATCGTCTTGAAATTCTTTTAGGTTTGAAACAAAGTCTCATTACAATTTCAATAAAATTAATCCATCTCACATCTACAACTAATCTGTAGTTTGAACAATGGAACTGAACTACAATTATAAGATCTGTTTTACTTTGTAAGTAAGGAAGATTGAGATAAGTTATATTTCAGTTCCTTGAAAATATTGCCAATCCACTCTACTGCTATGCTACAAAGGCAGTAACGAATCTGTTATAAGACATACGGACTTGGGAGACTTCAGGGTCATTAAACTTAACTTTACACGTTTGTAAGTATTCGTACATGCTTTAGCTAGATTTAAACCTACTACAAATAGTTTGTAGTAGCCCCCTAGGGGGCTTCTTTTCAATCTCCCTTATTGAATAAGTCAGTTAATATTATAATTACATTCAGTAGGTACGAACTAACTTAATAGATATACTCGTAGATATTCGTACTTTGATGATTGACAAAATTACTTTGTGAAGAAATCGTATTTGTTTTCTTAAAATAATTAAAGTATTGCTTATTCAATAAATTAATTACTTAACCAAAAAGATATATGACAGAGAGTGAACATAAATAAGTTTTTATTTTCTTGGTAAGCATGACAAGCGATTTGGGGGACAAGCACACATTTGGGAAAAGCCAGGGGGAGTGAACAGCAGCCACCTGTGGACGACGTAGATTTATGTACGTTTTGACATAATATTATAAGGAAGATGATTTATATTACTTATAGTGCAAAATGTAATATGTAGGAAAGTAAAACTTTTTAATAATGTTTGCACCACAGCAAAATAATTTCAGGAATTCCAATAGGAACAATAAATATTACTTCAAAAAATAAAAAATAATTATTTTATAAATAAATTAATTGTGTCTGCGCCTTTTCATTTTAATAAATTAATATTTTCAAGTTCT